CATGCAGCTGAGGCACCAGATGAGTCACAGGCAAAACAGACACTCCTCTGCCATTCAGCACAGGTGAAGGAGCACTGCCCCCGCTCCACTCCTGCCCCACCTCTTCCCGCCCAGTTCCGCCCCTCCCCCGAGCATGCCCTGTCCCCGCTCCTCCCCCTCCCCGGGAGGTGCTGGGAGGGAGGGGGAGGAGTCGATCCGGGCTGCCGGTGGATGGGAGGTGCTATGGGGAAGTGGGGGGAGCTGATTGGAGCACCCACGGAGTCGGCGCCTATGGTGAGAATGAACCCAGCTCTCCCTCTCCTTCTGGGTCATCCAGGTTGCACTCCCTCCCCCTGCTCTGACCCTCAGCTCCATGGAGAATCCACAGTACCACCATGGCAGAGCTTCCCTTCCTCACGGAGGGGAGAGATCTGTTCACAAAGCGCGTCTGTCATGTGCGGGGGGGTGATGATCTGAGTCTGGCATCAACACACATGACTGAGCACACGCAGGGAGCAGATTGGCTGAGTAAGGAAGTTCCGTTTTAAGAGTCACTGTTCGGAGTAAAGCCACACTAATGCTTTGCCCATCACCATCATTACTATCGTTGTGTGCTGTGGTTGGGCCTAGGACCCCAGTCATCAGTCAGGACCCCATTGTGCTAGGCCCTGTGCAAACAGAACAAAAATCTTCCAATCGAAATATAAGATGAGGCAAAAGGTGGACACAGACAGACTAGACGGGGGAGCACAATGCAACAACACCTGGCAGCGTGCTGGATACGGTCTCGCTCACCAGCTGCCTAAATACTACCTAGTTTTTTGTAGGCATGCTGGCAAAGGCGAGTTTGAAGAGGGGTTTTGAAGGAGGACAGTGACGTGGCTTTGCAGGTGTTTACAGGGAGCTCGCCCCAGTTGCTGGATTGCAACAAGGGAGAAAGCACAAAGCTGCTTCTTTGAAGAGTCAAGTGGGCGATGAAGGCTGCATCATTGGCAGTTCATTGAACTTCATCGCTGATGTTCAGAAATGGACGTTCAGCACATAAAGTGTTGTGTCTGATACTTTCCTGAGGTCTGTGGCAGGCTACCCGAAAGTTACAGCGCTTCCCCTATGGAGCTAAACACGTTCACCATGTCTCAATCATAAATGTTTTTGTTCTGATTCTGTGCAGGTTCGAAAAGTGTCAAATGAAATCATTCACACAGCCAATGAGAATGTCACCCAAGACCAGGAGCGCTCTGTCATCTTCGTGCATTGGGGTCAGTGGATTGACCACGATTTGGACTTAGCCCCTTTCACTACTACAAAAATCGACAATCAAGAAGTTCAGTGTGAGACCAGTTGCACCTCTGAGCTACCTTGCTTCCCAATTAAGGTACAACTACAACCTTGACTCCCTTCCTTCTTTGCAGGGTTTCTAAGCCTGAGACTAGTGTAGAAGGTTAGACCCAGAAAGACTTTATGGTGAAAGAATAGAGAGATCAAAGACATGAATTCTTCAAAGAGCCTAAAGCACCTAACACACTGTGTATATTACAGGGGAGCTGGTAGTAACCCCTATATTTAGGTTGCCTAACACATTCCCGTGGTTTCCAAACCCAGCAGTATCACCCTAGTGATGAGAGTCTGCAGCCATGACAGGCCAGTAGCAAGTGCGGGCTGTGTGGTAGGGGAACCCGGGCCCTCCCTGCTCCATCGGGGGCCCAGTGACTGCCAGGTCAGAGACACAGCCTGGGGCAGACACCCCCCAAGCCTGCTCCCTGGGTCACTTCCTACCCCAGCCTCTGCCCCTCCAAAGTCACAGCAGAGTCTGCTTATGGACTCACCGAGTGGGGTTTCTCCCTGGCAGTGATCTGAAGGCTCTTCTCCGTCAATCGCAGCCCACTGCTCTCCAGGGCCAGCAGATGGGTCTGGTCCAAGCGGTGGGTGCTCCTTTAACCTCTCTGTAGGAGCTAACAATGTTGGATTGTTCCCTTGCTTTATCCACCCTGACACAACTGGGATGCTCCCTTTTGAGCTCTGCCTCCATTGTGAGCAGGCCCTGCAGGTGCAGCTGGGCTGGCCCTTTTGGGCCCAGAGCTACTCCTTAACCCTTGGTTCCCCAGTATGGGGCTGGTACACTCCATAACAATTCCATCATATAATACTTTTGCAATCTTTTGTGAGAAGCTCTACTAGCTCCATTGTTTGCAGTTGGCTTTTGAAATTTGGCACAGAGAAAGCTCTGGAGCCAGAGAAGTGCCTGTTCATTGCCATGTGGAATTCTGTTCACGGTTTGCTGAGATACAATAAATAGTTGAAAAAATGGCCATTTCTCCTCTGTCACTTTCATTCTGCAGGAAAATGTTGGTAGCATGGGGTGAAATACTAACTGAACACCACATTCTCAGGCTGGGCCCACACTGCTGCCAAAGAAACAGTAACCACCGTACTGGGAATGTCTATCAGCTGTAACAGGGTATTGTGGGGAGAGACAGACTGGGATGCTGCACCCAGCACCTTCCCCAAGCAGCTCATTCCTCTCTCTGGGGACACCCACGTGGAGTAGGAGCTCCTCCAGCTTCTGGGGAGTGGGAATGAGAGACCTGGACCAGGCCAGACTCCTTTTGACCACTCTCCAAAACCAGCAACTGTACCCAGGGGCCCATGCCCAACTCCTGGATAACACCCTTTTTCTGTTGACACTTCCTGACATTAGTCTGTAGCTCAGGTGGTAGTATGCAGTGCTGAATGTTCAGAGTTCAAAACCTGCTTATGATACATGATTGATGGTGGTGGGGAGGAGGAGTAACAGTTGTACATAAAATAATTTGGTTTTACTTGTTTTCCTTAAAAATAGACAGGGAATTACATGTACCAAAACTCCATTAAAGGAACACTATTTAGATTGCAAAGTCAAGCAATCCAAAGTTAAAAAATGCCAGAATTCAGGTTGTCCAATCAACCTTTATTCTGTCCCCGGCACATATGGATCATGCTACAGTCTTTCATTATGTGATTATATACTGTTTTTTCTAGGATTGGTTTAGTGCACAGAATGGACACACAAAAGGCAGATTTAAGAGCAGCCATAACATTTGTCATTTCCTAACTTCTGAGTGCTTGACTTTGTGATCTAAATAATTTTCTTTTAGCACAGGTGGGGATGCAGGTAATATTTTTATAAATCAGGAAAAGAACCTGGGTATCACAGTGGACATTTCAATGAAAATCTCTGCTCCATATGCAGCTGTGGTCAAAAAAGCCAACATGCTGGTACAATGCATAAAGAATGGGATGGAGAATATGTGAGAAAAAATATAAGGGGCTTATATATATCAGTAGTGTGGCTTGCTCTGGCATACTATGTGTAGCCCTGATCACTATATTTTGAAAAAGATATTGCAGAATTAGAGGGGATTCGGAGAAAGGTGGCAAGAATGATCAGGGCCTGGAAAAACTCTCCCGTGACAAGAGATTGAAAAGATTGGTATTGTTCAGCTTAGAGAGGGACCATATGAAAGAATAAATGATCTGAAGAAAGAAGATTGGCTCCCTGGTCCTGGTCTCCCTGTCTCATAACACAAGAACTAGGAGCCAGCCATTGAAACTGGAAGGGGGCAAATTCAAAACTGATAAAAGGAAATACTTTCACTGGCAAGATTCAAAGAGGGACTGGACATTTACATGGATAACAAGTCATCCAGAGTTAGAATAGCTAATGCTAATACAATTTTTGTCAGGGTTATAAAAATCCTACTTCAGGTTTTAAAGCAATCTCTAACTATTAGGGATTAGGACAGGGGTTCTCAAAGTTCATTGCACTGCGACCCCCTTCTGACAACAAAAATTACTACAGGACCCCAGGAGCCTGCCCAAGCCCCACTGTCTTGGGCAGGGGGCCAAAGCCTGAATCCAAGGGCTTCATCCCTGGGCAGGGGGCCTGTAACCGGAGCCCCACTGCCCAGATCTGAAGCCGAAGCCTGAGCCCTGGATGGCTTTGGCCCTGCGCTCCAGCCAGTCTAACGCCAGCTCGCGTGACCCCATTAAAACAGGTCGCGACCCACTTTGGGGTCCTGACCCACGGTTTGAGAACCGCTGGAGTAGGATGAGACCTTCATGGGGGCAGATTGTCTCATGACTGCGTACTGTGGGGTTTTATGTCATCTTCCTCTAAATCATCTGCTACTGGACACTGTCAGACAGGACATTGGACTAGATGTACCACGAGTCTCATCCAATCTGTGAATTCCCCTGTCGAATAGATAATGTGTTTGGAACATTCCTAGATTCATAGATTCTAAAGCCAGGGGGTATTGCGATCATCTAGTCTGACCTCCTGTATAACACAGGCCACAGATCTTCCCTAGAATAATTCCGTTTGAACTAGGGAATATCTTTTAAAAAATCCAATCTTTATCGACACATTAAATTGGGAGTAATTCTCTTTTGTTTTCTACAGTTTCCCCCTGATGATCCACGAATTAAGGACCCAAATACTTGTATGCCATTCGTCCGTACAGCTCCAGTGTGCAATGCCAAAACATTTATACATGAGCAGATCAATGCGCTCACCTCCTTCATGGATGCCAGCATGGTGTACGGCAGTGAAGTACCTCTAGCTAAGAGTCTTAGGAATCAGACAAACCAGCTGGGTTTGATGGCGCTGAACCAGAACTTTACTGATGCAGGGCTGGGATTACTGCCCTTTGAGACCAATTCCCAAAGCCCCTGTTTATTCACAAACAAGACCATGAATATCCCCTGTTTTAAAGCAGGTAAGTCATGTGCCTGGAGCACAATTAATTTTCTGAAGTGAGCGGCAGAGAAACTTAGCAGTGCCTGAGACAAATATAATGAGACATCAGAAACTATTGTGTGACAGTATTGTGTAAGAAAAAATGGGGGGAACCATGAAAATCACAAAACTGAACATGGAACCGGAAATGTTTTGGTTTCCAAAAACCAAAATGACACTTTAAGCCAAACCATTTTTTCATTTTAAAATGTCATTACAAAACTAAATGAAAAATTCTAGTCAAAAGGAAATTTCCCACAGAAAATCCACCATTTTGTGGTCAAAAAATGTCAAATGGTCATTTTTCCGAAGGAATTTACCATGAAAAAATTGGTTTTCCAATAAGCTTTGTTGTTGTTGTTTTCAAATAAAAGACAAACAAAACAAATTCTATCATGTGCAACCAACTGTCTCACCCCTTCTCTCACATCATCGATAGCAGGGTTTGTACTTCAGCACCAGTGACATGGAGGAGTGACTGCAGACGTGGAAGCAGTAGTAAGCCATATGCAGAAACGTTCACATTTTTCTCTTTCAATTCTTCCTCCCACCTGATTTGGCTCATGAATATTTTCAGATTTTGAAATTGGTGTTTTTAAAGCACCAAGTATATATATTACTGGTTTGGCATTTCTTCTGTTTATACGTTACACATGTGATCAGCTCCTTAGCGCTTGTACCCAAGCCTACCACTAATTTTCAGTTTGGTGATCGGTTCCTTTTTTCTCTGTCATCTCCTGTTTGCTGCATCTGTTTATGCCTCTGTAGTCTGCAAACCACTGACTTTCTATACTAAGACATGTTTATACAGAGAGTTAGTGCGCAGTAAGCTGGGGTGCAAATCTCCAGCGCTGTAGCGTGCCGTACACTAACTAGCTGTGTGGGCCCTGCATTAAATACAGTCACTCCTCACTTAAAGTCGTCCCACTTAACGTTGTTTCGTTGTTACGTTGCTGATCAATCAGGGAACATGCTCATTTAAAGTTGTGCACTGCTCCACTCTTACGTTGTTTGGCTGCCTGCTTTCTCCACAGCTGGCAGCCTCCCTTCACGCCTCACTCCCCACAGCGCCTCCTGCCCGCCGGCAGACCCCGCGGATCAGCGCTTCCCCCTCCACCCCTACCCCCCCCCCCGCCCACGGCAATCAGCTGGCTTGCAGCGTTTTGGAGGCAGGAGGGAGGGGGAGGAGCGAGGACTCGGCGCGCAGGCTCCCCCTCCTTCCTCTGCCTCTCAAACGTGGCAATCAACTGGCTTGCGGCGTTTAGAAGGGAGGGGAGGGAGGGGGGAGGAGCCAGGACGCAGCGTGCGAAGTAAAAGGGGAGGAGGTGGGGGGGAGAAGAGGCAGGTCAAGGGTGGGGGTTTGGAGGAAGGGGTAGAGTGGGCGGGCTGAGGGTTGAGCCCCCCGCCCCGGTGCTTGCAGAGTAGGGGAAGCTGCCCTGGAACCTAACCCCCCCATTTACATTAAGTCTTATGGGGAAATTGGACTCGCTTAACATCGTTTCACTTAAAGTCGCATTTTTCAGGAACATAACTACAGCATTAAGTGAGGAGTTACTGTACTCTGTGACCCACACAGCCAGTTAGTGTGCAGCAGACTAGAGCACTGTAGATCATAGGCGTGCGCAGCACATTTCATTAGGGTGTGCACTCAGGGAGCCCCACCCTAGCTCCGCCCCTGCCCTGCCCTAGCCCCGCCCCCATCCACTCCCTCCTACTTCCCGCCCCCAACTGCCCCCCTCAGAGTCCCCAATCCCCCCTGCTCATCCGGGATGCGCTTCCTCAGCTAGGGGAAGTATGTAACCCACACACCTCCTGGGTGTGGTGTTCTGTCCCATCTAGTGGCACCAAGACCACTTAGAGAGAGAGAGAGAGAGATAAAATGGGTCTGCTCGACAGCCTTCGCTAACAGCCAGGTGGCTTTTAGCTCATGCTGTAGAGGCTCATGCACTAAGCTCTAGAGATCCCCAGTTTGATCCCGCCCGGCGACGGGGTCTGTTGGCATTACACAGGCACCTAAGATAACTAGCCGATTGCCCGACTTTCTCAGTATGAATCAGGAGACCTCCCTTGTTGCACCCTCCTCCTTGTGTTTCCTCCCGGTATCCCACTTACCTCAGGGCTTAGGTCTCCATCCCCCGGCAAACCTAGTTTAAAGCCCTCCTCACTAGGTTCCCTCTCTTCGTTAGGTGGATCCCATCTCTTCCTAGCAATCCTTCTTCCTGGAACAACATCCCATGGTTAAAGAATCCAAAGCCCGCTTTCCAACACCACCTGTACAACCACGCATTTACCTCCACAATTCGATGGTCCCTACCTGGGCCTTTTCCTTCAACAGGGAGGATGGATGAGAACACGACTTGCACCTCAAACTCTTTTATCCTTCTCCTCAGCGCCACATAGTCTGCAGTGACCCGCTCAAGGTCATTCTTGGCAGTATCATTGGTGCCCACGTGGAGAAGTCGGAAGGGGTAGTGGTCCAAGGGCTTGATCAGTCTCGGCAGACACTCCATCACATGCTGAATTCTAGCTCCAGGCAATCAGCACGCTTCTCGAGTTTCCCAGTCTGGAGGGCATATGGATGACTCCGTTCCCCTTAGGAGGGAGTCCTCGACCACCACCACCCGTCTCCTCCTCTTGGGAGTGGTTGTCGTGGAACCCCCATCCCTAGGACAGTGCATCCCATGCCTTCCTGGTCAATGGGGTCTCCTTCTGATCCCTTCCCTCAGATGACTCTTCCAAACCAGTAGTCTTCCATAGTACCTGTGCAGAGAGCCTGAAAATGGTTTCTTATTTCTATCCGCATTGGAGGTACACGGGTTCTCTCTTTCTTCTTCCAGAGGTCACATGCTGCCAATTTTCTTCCCCATTCTGCACTGTCCTTTCTGATTCTTCTGCATGCTGTGCCTGCAGCACCAAACGCTGACTTCTCTCCAGAAAGTCTTCGTTTTCTCTGACGCAACACAGGTTAATATTGGGTCTCTAGTCCTTTAACCTTCTCTTCCAATGTGGAGACCAGCTCGCACTTCGTACAGATGAAGTCACTTCTATCCTCTGGGAGAAAGACAAACATGGCACATCCTGTGCAGGTCACAACAGCTCACTATCCATATTGTCTTCCTTCTAAGAGCCTCTTCAGAAGTTGTAATTACCGCTCACAGAAGCCTGAAAGGCAAAAACTCTGTAGGAGCTCCCCCTAAGTGAACTCCCAGGCAAAACTCCTGCAGGCTGCCTGGTTGCTTCTGTGCCAACCCTTGCTTTGCTGTGAACCCCAGACTCCAGCGTCTGACCTCGATTCGTCTCTGACTCCACTACTTGTCTCCTGTCTGTAGCTGGGGCCTGACCCTGGTATCCTAAGCCAGCTTGACCCTGACTCTGCTACTTGTCTCCTGCCTGCAACTTGGTAACTGAGCGGTGCACATAGGTCACCCACAGCACAGCTGTAACAGTGAACAACCCATCAGTCAACAGCAGATTGACCGAATGCACCTCTCACCTAGCCCCACTACTGCATACTTCCAATCACTGAGTCCGCAGCTCTTTCCTTGGAAATCCTCTATTTGGCTGCCTCTGTTATAATAATAATAATAATGAATGGAGATATCCCATCTCCTAGAACTGGAAGGGACCTTGAAAGGTCATCAAGTCCAGCCCCCTGCCTTCACTAGCAGGACCAAGTACTGATTTTGCCCCAGATCCCCAAGTGGCCCCCTCAAGGGGGTCATGGCTCTGAACCTTTGAGCGGCAATGATTTCTCTATGAATGGTCTCTCAGTACTAAAACATCCTCTGAATTTCTAAATATTGTAGATGACAATGTCCTAGCTCAAACAGTGTTACATCCAACCTGGGGGAATTCTATATTAGAGTTTGTCTTTGATCGATGACTATCTCTGAAAAGCTGGGTGTGACTTGCCCAGAATCACACGGGAACTCTGGCAGAGACAGGAATGAAATCCAATTCTCTCAGCTAGCATTTAACTGCTTTAACCATAAGATCATCCTTTACCTTTCTAAAACCCTCTGCCTCCTACACTACATACCTTCTAACTTCTGTAACAAAGGAGGCAGGGGTCCTACAGACAATAGATTTCTTCATTATGCAACTGTGACCCATTCCTTGAGCGTTGTCAATACTCTGGCTCTGAATGAGAAAGGGGACTGCAGGAATTATATAAGAACGTGTAATTACAAACTGTATTATAATGTGCACGCACTAACACACAATGGGGGTGGGGGAGAAGGGCTGAATTAAGGTTGCATGGTGTTTTTTGTCAAAAAAGCAAAGTAAAAAAAAAAATAGAAAGTCCACCAAGTGGAATCATCCACCCCCCCTCCCCATGGGACATATACAGGATCTCAATATTGTGATCCACAACAAAGATCTCTACCATTTGAGATAACTGAGTAATTGGTAGCACTAGTAGATTGGTATCCTTTATGGGGACCAGCCATTACAGGGGAAGAGTCAGACATTTTGCTAATAGAATTCATAGCTGTTTGCTGACAGCAGAGGAGGGTTGAGATGCAGGAATCCTGGGTTCAATTCCAGGTTCTGGAGGGCAGTGTGATCTAGTGGTTATAGACCCTTCTGCCCCTACCCCCCTCTGCTCCTATTCCCTCACCTCCCAACTCCTGTCCCTCTCCCACTCTGCTTCTATTCCAACCTCCAGCTCCCATTCCTGTCCCCTGCAGCTCCTAGCACCCCAGCATACCCCTGCCCCCTCCCGCCAGTCTTCCACCTTTGCATTAGCGTGATATTGCTCCTCCCCTTCCATGGGTTCAAGGTGCTAGTGGTACAAGAGAAACAGTCTCTCTGCTCCCAGTTCTGCTGCACAGCTCCACTGAACCCCCAGCAGCCAAGAGAATTAACTGCAGGAAAAATCCTGCTTGGCACCAGCTGTCCTGGGCAGGAGCCTGCGAAGTTGCTCCGTGGGAATGTGCATGTGCAGTTCATTCACCGTGTGAAGGGATGGACCATGCTCAGTGCAGACACAATCCTTGGTTCTGCCTGCCCGTAACAAATCTCCTCTGAGAATGCGCAAACTGAGATTTTTCAGAGGTTTGTAGCTTGGCCAAATTTGTGTGGCTTTTATGGGGATGGCAAAATTACATCCCTTACACTAGGGCCAGCCCTCTACCAAATTGCCAGTCCCTGCTCCACAGCATGGAGGTGCTAGAAATCCTCAACAAAACAGTTGTAAGAACATTTTAACATGGTCAAAATAACTTTAATTCCGTAGCCCCATTCTCAGAAACAGCTGAACTGATTTTGCTGAAATTTTCAGGAAAGCAATCAGCCAGGGGAAGACACCCGGCATGGGGAATTCAGCCTGAATGGTTAAAGTTTGGCAAAATTATAAGGAACTGAAAACAGGGTATTACCATGGAAATGTTGGGCAACCTTAACTGTAGACAGCACCACCAGCTGTGCCTACAGCGAATTGCTAGCAGCTCACCTTACAATGCAGGAGTCTAATATGGCAAATTAAAAACAGTTCCTCAGCTGAATAAAATATACAATTATACTGTGTTTTTATAATTTAGGTGATGCACGAGTAACTGAAAATCTGGGACTTACAGCTCTACACACACTCTTTGTGCGGGAGCACAATCGCTTGGCTACCGAGTTGAAGAAATTAAATCCACACTGGGATGGAGAGAAGCTCTACCAGGAGGCCCGAAAAATCATAGGTGCCATGACCCAGGTATCAGCTGCAATATCGTTTTTGCTGCCATTCACTTGTCGATTAAACATTTCTTGCTCAGATTTAGACATGATTTTTCCCCTCCAGAATTGTCTGTGCAGGTTCCTACACACCAAGCTTGCTCAGCCCTGTAGCCACTGGGGCTACGCGTGCAGCAGCCTGCAGATCTAAATGTTTTAGGCACCCTCTGTGCTGCAGGTGCCCTCTGCCTTATCATTCACAGCTCAGTTTTAGTGGCTTAGTGTTGTACAAAGGGAAATAATTACTGTGTCAGATATTGCACCCGCATGCGGTATCTTTGGGGACCAACGCGATCAATCCATGAATAGTTTCAATGTGATTGTGTTCTACTCCATGGGGATGGTTACCACAGCGCCTCCAGGAATTAAAAACAGGGAGGGATGATTAACGTGAGTTGCTAAGACAACTCCATGAGGTAGTTTGCATTTCTTGGTTCAAACTGGGTTTTCCAGAGACATTTGCCCAGTCACCCAATTTTGTGAGATCCCTTTGTAACTTTTCACATTCTGCTTTGGACTTAACTATCTTGAGTAATTTTGTATTGCCTACAAACTTTGCCACCCATTTACCCCTTTTTCCCGATCATTTATGAATATGTTGAACACCATGGTCCCAAACTTCTGGGAGACACCACTATTTACCGCTCTCCATTCTGAAAACTGACTATTTATTCTTAACCTTTGTTTCCTATCTTTTAACCAGTTATTGATCCATGAGAGGACCTTCCCTCTTATGACAGCTTACTTTGCCTAAGAGCCTTTGGTGAGGGACCTTGTCAAAAGTTTTCTGAAAGTCCAAGTACACTATATCCATTGAAACACCCTTCTCCACATGTTTGTTGACCCCCTCAAAGTATTCTAATAGATTGGTGAGGCATGATTACCCTTTACAAAAGCAGTGTTGACTTTTTCCCCAACAAATCATATTCATCTCTGTATCTGATAATTCTGCTCCTTACTATAGTTCAACCAGTTTGGCTAGTGCTGAAGTTAGGCTTATTGGCCTGTAATTGCCAGGATCACCTCTGGAGCCTTTTAAAAAAATTGGCATCACATTAGCTATCCTCCCAGTCACCTGGTATAGAAGCTGATTTAACTGATAGTTTACATGCCACATTTAGTAGTTCTGCAATGTCAAATTTGAGTTCCTTCAGAACTTTTGGGAGAAAACTATTTGGTCCTAGTGACTTATTACTGTGTAATTTATCAATTTGTTCCAAAACTTCCTCTATTAACTCCTCAAACAGGGACAATTCCTTAGATTTGTCACCTAAAAAGAATGGCTCAGGTGTGGGAATCTCTCTCACATCCTCTGCAGTGAAGACTGATGCAAAAATTCATTTACACAATGGTCTAGTCTTCCTTGAGTGCTCCTTTAGCACCTTGATCATTCAGTGGCCCCACTGATTGTTTGGCAGGCTTCCTGCTTCTGACATACTTAAAAAAAAATTCTGTTAGTTTTTGAATCTTTTTCTAGTTGCTCTGCAAATTCTCTTTTGGCCTGTCTGATTATACTTTTACACTTGATCTGCCAAAATTTATGCTCTTTTTTACATTATTTTCCTCATAGAATTTGACTTCCGATTTGTAAAGGATGCTTTTTTGGGATCTCTAACTGCCTCTTTTACTGTGTTGTTTAGACATGGTAGCATTTTTTGTCATAGAATATCAAGATTGGAAGGGACCTCAGGAGGTCATCTAGTCTAACCCCCTGCTCAAAGCAGGACCAATTCCCAGACAGATTTTTACTCCAATTCCCTAAACAGCCCCCTCCAGGATTGAACTCACAACCCTGGGTTTAGCAGGCCAATGCTTAAATCACTGAGCTATCCTTTTTGGTCCTATTATTATTATTATTATTATTTTATTTTAATGTGGGATATACATTTAATTTGAGCCTCTATTATGATTTTTTAAAGTTTCCATGACGCTTCCAGGCATTTCACTCTTGTGATTGTTCCTTTTAACTTCTGTTTAACTAGCTTTCTTGTGTTTGTGTTGTCCCCCGGTCTGAATTAAATGCTGCTGTGGTGGGCTTCTTTTGTATTTTCTCCCCCGCAAGGATATTAAAATTAATTTCATTATAGTCACTGTTACCGAGCGATTCAGCTCCATTCACCTCTTGAACCAGATCCTGTGCTGCACTTAGGACTAAATCAAGAATTGCCCCTCGTGTGTTCCAGGAGTAGCTGCTCCAAGAAGCCGTCATTGATGGTATCAAAACACTTTATCCCTACATCCTGTCCTGCGGTGACATGTACCCAGTCAATATGGGATAGTTGAAATCTCCCATTATTATGGTGTTTTCTATTTTTATAGCCTCTCTAATCTCTCTGAGCATTTCACAGTCACCATCACCATTCTGGTCAGGTGGTCAGGACTAGATTTCTACTCTGATTATTCAAGCTTGGAATTTCTGTCCATAGAGACTCTATGGTGCAGTTTGATTCATTTAAGGTTTTTACTATATTTGACTCTATGCTTTCTTTCATATAAATTGCCACTCCCCCACCAGCATGACCCACTCTGTCATTCCTATGTATTTGATCCCGTTATTACCTTATCCCATTGATTATCATCGTTCCACATGTTCCTGTGATGCCTGTTATATCAATATCCTCATTTAACATGCGTCTGACGAAGTGGGCATTCACCCACAAAAGCTTATGCTCCAATATATCTGTTAGTCTTAACGGTGCCACAGGACTCTGTTGTCATTTAACACCAGGCACTCAAGTTCACCCATCTTAGTATTTAGACTTCTAGCATTTGAAAACCAACCCTTTTCAAATTTCTAATGATTTTGGATGAATTATTGAAGAGACTCTTTTTCATTTAACTGTTTTTCAGCTCCTGCCTGTACTTTATCAATTTCTATCCTCTCCTCTTTACTGGGATATAGAGAATCCCTGTTACTAGATCCTCCCGAAGGGATGGCTCTCTGAACTGTGTACTCCTCGGCTTTCCCCCAGCTCTCAGTTTAAAAACTCCTCTAGGAACTTTTTAATGTTACGTGCCAATAATCCTGTTCTGATTTGCTTTAGGTGGAGTCCATCCTTCCTGTAGAGGCTCCTCCATTCTCAAAAGTTTTCCCAGTTCCTAATAAACCCTAAATCCCTCCTCCCTATACCATTATCTCAGCCACACACTGAGAGCCGCAGTTCTGCCTGTCTAACTGGCCCAATCATGGAGCTGGAAGCATTTCAGAGAATGCTCCCATGGAGGTCCTGGAATTTAATCTCTTAATGAGGCATCCTGTTGGGGAGCGTTACAGGCTAAGGAGCTCCAGCTGTGGAGGAAAGTTCATATCTCAGCCATGCTGTCTGTGAGTGATGTTCAGCCCTGTGCAGAGGCCAACACAAGGTCCAGGCACTATCCAAGCCCTGCAGATAGCTGGGCCTTCCTAGTCACCCTTTTGAATATCAGCACATTGGCTTTTCTCTGGTCCTCTGGAACATCAACCTCAGTGGCTCAGAGAGCTCCACGGCCAGCCAATTCTTTTAATTCTCTTGGGGGAAAGTTTTCCAGTCCTGCAGATTTAAAATGTTTAACTTCAGCAGTTGCTGTTTAGCGTACTCCCTCCTTACTATTGGAATAGAAAGTATTTAATTATCACTGTAAGCTCTGAATACATCCCCCTGCTCCTTCCAAAACACAGAACAGAAATATTTATTGAAGACTTCTGCCTCTTCTGCATCATGACGGACAATTTTGCCATCCACACCTAGTAACAGAACAAAGCCATTTGCTAGAATTGTTTTTGCGCCTCATATATTTAAAATTTCCTTCTTGTTGTCTTTAACTCTCCTGGCTGTTTCATTGATGTCTTGCATTTTGACACAGAATTTTTGACCAATCCTATTGGTCATGTTAGAAAGTGATCGTTTTTTCCTTTAGAAAGAGCGTACATGAGCTTCTAACTCAGTCTGTATTCCCTTCCAGGTAGTAACATACAGAGACTACTTGCCACTTCTGCTTGGAGATGAGACTGAGAAGGAAATACCATGCTACACGGGCTATGATGAGTCTGTGGATCCCACCGTGGCAAATGTATTCTCCTTGGCTTTTCGGTTTGGTCACGGTGCAGTACAGCCTTTTGTGACCCGTTTAGATGATCATTTCGAACCTTTGGGTCCAAATTTCCGGGTCCCTCTTCACCTCACATTCAGTGCTTCCTGGAGGGTTGTAATGGAAGGTAAGCCTGCAGTCCTGCTTTGCCAGCAAGGCAGAGATTCAGCAATGTACTTAAGCGCATGAATCAGAACCTAAAGCTCGTTACATCTGATCATTTGTTTCTAGGCATCAGGAAATGTTTTCAGTTAATAAATCATTTCCTCAATTCCAGCAGATAAACAGTTTTCATCAGAGGTAATTATCTGGCCATAGGGATATTTATTATAGACTCTTATAGTCTTGGGTCTGCAAGACCTTCTTCTTTGATAAGAGGTTTTCCAGAACACCATTTACGATCGCCCGCCCCACACCTTCCACAGCTGGAGTTTCTCATATGCAGGGTGAAGGGAGATGAGCCAAAGACTCTGTGAAGTCCAGTAGGGACCTCCCAGTGCTAATCTAATTAACCTGGAAGGTACTAAGTTACTATGGTGATGGGCATGAGCGGAGGGTATCAGAGGCCAGAGGAGGCTGAGCCTCCACAAACAACCCGGTGTGGCAACGCTCATGCTCCACCTTGAGGCCCCCTCCTGCTTCTCCCTCTTCCCCCATGGCCCAGTCTGGGGCTGGGGTGGGTCGTCCTGCAGCCCAGGACTCGGAGCAGCTGGGGCCGGTGCTTGGGCTGCTAGGTGCTGGGGCTCCCCACCTGATGCTCCAGGGCATAGGGGCGCAGGGGCCGTGCCACCCACGTGGCGCTCTGGGGCACTGGGGGCCACACTGGGGGCCACCTGGCCAGGGCTCCAGGGTGCTAGGGGCCACGCTAGGGCCAAACTCCCAGCGCTCTGGGGCTGGGGGCGCTCAGATGACCCGGGGCTGGAAGGACTGCTGCCGGTGGCCATAGTGGGGACTCAAGGCTCCAGCAGGGAGGGGGTGGGGGAAGGGCAGGGCAAGGGGCTGGCCTCCCCAAATGGGTGGTTCACGCATCACCCATGGTGATGGGTAATGGCAGAAAACTCTAAAATGGACAAACAGTGGCCCAACCTAAACATGGCCCCACGAATAGCCAGTGCAGGTTTGAGCTGCATGTACAGATGGAACAGCTCAGGGAACAAGAGGGTAACAGGCCCTGTTCGGTTGTGACTACACTTGGAATGCTGCATTCAGCTCTGGGACCCAGAAGAAAACAAACAAACTGAAGGACGTTAAAAAAGAGCAACAAAAACCACTCTAGGACTCTAGTATGCAGCGTTGTTATCAAGGCTTTGGAGCGGAGCCCGGAGCTGGAGCGCGGAGCAGCTCTGGAGCAGTGGAGCTACAGGTTTTTGCCTAGAGCTGGAGCGGAGCCGGAGCACAGCTCCAAAGCCTTGGTTGTTATAGTCATTTCGGTCCCAGGATATTAGCGAGACACGGTGGGGGAGGGAATATCTTTTATTTGATCAACTTCTGTTGGTGAGAGAGACAAGGTTTTGAGTACACTACCTGAAGAAGAGCTCTGTGCAGCTCGAAAGGTTGTCTTTCTCACCAACAGAAGTTTGTCCAATAAAAAATATTACATCACCCAGCTTGTCTCTCTAGGACTCTAGGAAAGATTTTAAAAGCTGCCAGTAACTTTCACTGTATTGAGTAAATGAAACCTTGCAGTGCCACTTAAACTATGAAATTATTTGCAAAAACTAGCCGTGGGCATCAGCAACGAACTTTGCTGATAATTGTGTCTTTAAAGACCTGGAACCTGAGTTGAGGCTGAATTGTGTCTCACTCCTGCTGCAGGGCTAGTTTAAGCTTCTATCTGAATGTTCCTCTCATCAGTGTAGATATAATTCCCGGTTACAATTCAACATCACTTTTAATAACTATTCTATTAATTCTAATAAGCCACCGTTTTTAAATGGTGCTTTTGGTGATAGCCCTTTATAAAACGTATTCAATGTACTGTTTTCATATTAAATATGCCTTTAATCAGGCACTTTCCAACCATGACCTCCAGAGGTGGGAGTTATCTCCATTTTACAGCTCCAGAGACCGAGATGCAGAGGCCTAGGGCCAGATTTTCAAAGGTCTTTAGTTATCTAAAGATGTAGATAGCAGCTAGTGGAATTTCCCAGAGCACCTACATGCCTATTGAGAAAATCCCATTGGACTCCTATCTGTGTCTTTAGATGGCACCTAGCTACCTTTAGGAATCTGGCCCCTAGTAAAGGATGTAGCAGTCAGGATTAGCACCTGGCCGGGACTGTGCTCTGACTACTCTGTGGTAGTTTTCAGTTTTTATTTTTATCTAGGGATTTATCAACGTTTCTTACAAAAACTAAAATAGAGGTGAAAATCAGTGCAAGAAATGAATTTTCCAGTTTTCTGGGTAAATACCAGGGTTAATGTTGAACGTGAGGACAGAAAAAAAAAAGCAACAAACAGAGAAAAGTAAGAGTATTGAAAGTAAAAGCAATTTAAAAGTTATTTCATGAACTGTACATTAACATAGTGTATCTTCCACTACATTGTGTTCCTTTGACAGCCAGCCCTGCATTTACACACAGACATACGTACCTAATGTAATGGATTGGATTTTCTTAACATAATCAGAGTTTTCAGGTCCATGAGTTGTGACAATCAGTAAAAAACAAATAATAGCTTTTGAAAAAGCCAGGAATTTTTTAATAAAAATCAGAAGAAACTGAAAACAAAGTGCCTTATCTAGATTATGAACAAATATATCAAACAGTGTCCCCCCCAAGCTTTTAGCATTCTGCTATATTTTAAAAATACCCAATTCTGTAGCTCCTTTCACTCACGTTTAGTGGTGACACTTTCATTTTATATGTATTTCATGCTGATTGGATATATATACAATGGAACAGAGTGCAGCCACTTTAGAACTGACTGCCCTACCTCTCAACTTACTTTGAACTGAATATTAAACCAAATTAGCCAAGGTATGACATGGGTGAACTCACCACTTGTGAAGAAGTAAACAGTCATTGGAGCAAGGGCTTGAACATGGCTCTTTCATGTGATAGATACAGGCCCTAGCCACCAGGCTATAGAGTCAACATCTCTAGCTCTGTGTCTGGCCCAATGAATTGTTTAATACCAAGTGGAACAGCTTCGACAGGAGTGACTGGGACACCCCCACCCTCAGATTAACCAATAGCCTGGCAGCTAGGGCTCTTACCTGGGATGTAGGAGAGCTGAGTTCAAGTCCTTGTGCCAAATCAAGCCGAGGGAGGATTTGGAAACAGCTCTTCCCCACTCCAGCTGCCTTGCCTGCCTACTGGGGAGCATGCACTTCAGCCAGTCTAGTTCCCACTCTCCTTATTGCTGACTGTCTTCTGCACAGGACCCAAATGGGACCAAGCCTGGTAGGGGAACACCTCGCTGATAAATCCTGCTGGGACTTAGGTGTGCGCTAGGGTGCTGAGCGGCTCGGTGGCATCAGGATTTCGGAGGCTCTGGGCATGCCCAGTGGTGGAAATGTCGGCAGCTATGGAATTGAGGGGTCTAC